AACTACTGTTAGACAAGAGATGTCCCTGCATCTCACAAGAGAAATTTCTTCTTCCTCTTAGTTTCATTGAAATATAGTGACATGGAGTAAAGTGCACATATTTTAAGTGTACAATGTGATGTGTGAAGATGTGTGCATGCCTGTGAAGTCACCATTATGATAAGCATGTGTATCATCCTCAAAAGTTTTCTGCTGCTGTCCTCTCAACCCCTCTCATCTTTGCCTGCAGGTATCCACTACATGCTCTTTGACAATATAGATCAGTTTGTGTTTTTCTAGAATTATAGAAATGGCATGAATCATATAGCAGGTATATTTTTTCTTCTTTTTTACTCCTATAAGTTTTTGGGATTCTCCCACATTGCTGAACATTCCTACCAACGGTTCATTTATTTTTATTGCTGAATATTATTTTGTTGTATGGATATACCATACTTTATTCATTCACTTGTTGATGAACATTTGATGTATTCCCAGTTTTTGGCTATTGATATAAACTTGTTATGTACATTGTATACATGATATACTTCATGCATTCTTAAAATTGAAAGCTAAAATGAGATTCCTTAAGTAGTGAAGGTATAGAACAGCAAGGCATAGTTAAAATATCTCAACAGTAATTAGTACAGATCCAAGTTTCTTCAGTTCTTTGTTAAAAGGTTATTAAATGAACAGTAGCATAATCTATTTTTTTTTAGTTTCTCTCTCTCTCTTTTCCCGCCTATGTCTACTTTAGTCCTTGTCTGTGCCTGAGAACCTGCCTCCTATTATTGAGCTGTGTTTTACTTTTTTCTCAGTGACTTTGTCTTTTCTCTTTTTTTCTTTTTCAATTACAATTTACATTCAATATTATTTTATATTAGTTTTAGGTGTATAGCATATACTCTACAAAGTAACCCCCTGATATTTCCAGTACTCACCTGGTACCATATGTAGTCATTATAATATTACTGACGATATTCTTTGTGCTTACTTTATATCGCTGTGACTATTTTCTAACTATTAATTTGTACTCTTTAATTTTTATACCTCTTTCATTCAGTCCCTCAACTACCCCTTCGTCACTTTATCTGAGTCTGACTGCATTTGCTGAAGAGTCTTTGTCTTGTTCCCCAGGCCTTACTTCCATGCCCTCAGACTTCTGGAAACCAATATGAAACCAGCTGCCTTCCTATGTCACCACTGCCTGTTATTTTTGGCACCTGACCTGCAACCGCCCCTCGCCATTCCTGTTTATGATGACTGCCTCCAAAGTATACTTTCCCCTTTATTCCAACTCCCAGACTCTGCACCTGGGCCATGTCTGGAGTCTCTGTGCCATTTGAGCCGATCCAAATCCCAGTGTGTGGCCAGATTTGCTTACTCGGCAGACCCAACTACTCTTGGAGAACTCCAGCATACAGAAGTGTCTCTGTCCTGCAATGGGCTTAGTTCCAAAGGATTATTCCTAAATCCACAGGTTCCTGCAAGAAAATGACACCAGATATGCTACTGCTGTTGCCATCTGCTGGTGGCAGGCAGAGTTGACACAATGTTGTCCTATCTCCCAGTTTTGTCGTATTTAGGGAAGGTTTCCATTTAAAATCTTAAGTAGAAGAAGGTCTGTTTATGTACTTGCAATTTGTACTAATTCCCAGACCTATGTTCTACTTCATCATATGCTTGAGCAACACTGACCTTTCTGCTTGCTTCATCTCCACCTTCGGGCCTTTGCATTTGCTGTCCCCTCTTAGAACACACTTCCACAGATCTTCAAACATCTGGCTTCTGCCATTGCTCCCATCTCAAGTGAAATGTGATTACCTTACAGACGCCTTCCCTGGCAATGCTATCCCCACGCTACCCCACCTGTCAATCACTCTCATACTCTATTAATTCTTTCATTCATTTATTTCTTGTTAATTGACCTCTTCCTCATACCACGCCCATATATGAATGTAAGTGCCACAAGAGGATGGGGCAAGGAGCTTGGAGTACAGAACAATGCTTATATTGAACAAAAGGGATGTTCGATAAAACTTGATTCAGTAAATACATATAGCACCTCTGTTTATGTGTTGAAATCTTATCTTCTCAAGTCCAGGTCAAATACTATCTCTTTCAAGAACCTCTCCAGTTGGATTTGTTCTTTCTCTTTCACAGCACTTTTTAGTCTGTCTATGTTTCTTGTGTTAAGCTGCCATGTTCTCATTCTTCGTTTAAAATGTGGTGGACACAGCGACCATCCCTGACTTATTTTGAAATGCATTTCAGACTTAAAGACACAGCAAATACTGAGAAGATTTTGTTGCAGTCATAAATAAAATCAATCATGTTGTAAGACTGTTGATGATTTTGTTCTTTTTTATTATGAAATATTTCAGACATACAGAATAGAATTAATAATATTATGAATAATACTCCTATACCCATCGCCTGCTTTAAAAATTAATATTGAAGACATAGTTGAAATCTGTTGTGTGTGAAATAGTGATTTATAAGAAATACATAGATGACCGAATACATGTTTCTCATGTATGCTTCTTTCATGGTTCCTTGGTAGTGGCTTTCACAACCCTAGGAATTTTCTAAGCGATTACAACAATAAACTTGTCTTTTGTTATGTTAATGAAGTAACTTTTAACCTAGGGGAATGGGGCTGGTTGCCAGGGGAACCAAACCTTTGATTAAGAGGTTTGGAACTTTCAGTCCCACCCCTTTACCCCCTGGCAAGAGAGAGGGGCTGGAAATTATCCATGGCTAGTGATTTAATCAATCCTGCCTACGGAATGCAGACTCCATAAACTCCCCCAAACAAGGTTCAGAGAGCTTCTGGGTGGGTAACCACCTGGAGATTCAGGGGGAGTGGCCCCTGGAGTGGACAGGGAAGCTCTGTGTCTGTCCCTGGCCGTGGCCCTCTGCATCTCCTCCATCTGGCTCTTCCTGAGTTATATATATTTTTTATAATAAACGGGTGATCTAGTAACTTAAATGTTTCTCGGAGTCCTGTGAGCCACTCTAGCAAATTAATCAAACCTGAGAGGAAATCATAGGAACCTCTGATATACAGCCAGTCTGTCAGAAGTACAGGTAACGACCTGGGTTTGTGACTAATATCTGATGTTGCAGAGTGTGTGGGTGGGTGTGTGCTGGGGAGGAAGTCCTGTAGGACTAAGACTTTAACCTGTGGAATCTCAGTCTATCTTTGGGTAGATGGGTAGATAGTGTCAAAACTGAGTTAAACTCTCAGATACCCAGGGATTACTTGTTGGTGATGTGGCAAACTCCCCTCCAGCTTCCAAGTTGAAATAGGGTCTGGGAACCTCAAAGGTCACCTCTCAACCCTTTCTCCTCCTCTCTTTCCTGACTCAATCACGATTCTGAATTTGGTGTTTATCATTAGAATCTGTGTGTGATTGTATGTTCACTATACCGCTACCGTCTGTCTTGGTATGTGTGTGCATGTGTGAGTATTCATTTGCATCATTGGTACTATTCTGCTTATTTTTAAGTAGCATATGACAAGTGTCATTTTACACCTTAATTATTCCCTCAACATTATGTTTTTCAGATTATCCATGTTGATACATGTAGTTTTAGAATCTAGTGATGAAATCATTCATGTCAATTATTATATAGTATTCCTTTATATAACCATTTCAGTTTCCTTGTTCATTATCTTCTTGAATAGCATTTAGTTTTCCATTTCCACTCTTACAGACAACACTGCAGTAAACATTCTCGTAACATTTTTTTTTCTTGGCACCCTAGGGAGTTCCTCCAGGGTTTGTTTATATTGGGAAGTGGAACTTCTGGGCCAGAGACTATAAACATTATGTCATTGTGATTAAGAACAAGGCGGAGAGCCAGACCGGGGTTTGAATCCCTGCTCCCCTACTTGCTACCTTTCTCAGGAAGCAATGAGCACCTGCTATTTTCAGTTCTTCTCATGAGCATGCGGGTCCTACCTCCACTCCTGGCATCCAGCAGTCAGCTTGGCATAAGGCCCTGTGGCTATGGTGCACCCTGCCGGCACCCCTCCCCAGCTGCACTGCCTGCTCCCGGAGCCAGGGCCTTCCAGGCCTGGGGCTTCACACGCAGTCCCTGCTTGGCATTTTTGTACCATTTCTGGTCCATGGAAAGCTTCATTTTCAAGACTGCAGATATTTTTCAGTTTTACCTTTTAATATTTTATGTACCATCAGTATGTATTTGGAGCAGAGGGAGTACTTCAGAACATGAACTTATGGTTGCCTAACCTTTTCAAATAAGCACAAATCTTAGAATCATCTAATCATAGGTTTTTGGAGCAAGGAGGGATTTTTGAGATCATGAGGGACAATAACCTTGTTTTATAGGTGAGGAAATTGTGGTCTCGAGAAATTGAGTGATTTACAGATCTCATATCTTTAGTTAATGGTGGAGGCAAGACCAGAACTGAAACCTGTGGGTTCCCTCTGAAATCCTCTTGCCACTACATTCACCATCATGGTTTCCTCCATAGTTGCGTATAATATTTTTATTCTTAACAGAAATCAAAAAATAAGTTAGAATTTAAGAATTTATAAAAATGATATCACATTTTTAAACTGATAGAACATATTTTCCTTTGGAAAGCGTTGAAGTAGAAATAAGAGTACAGTGTTCGCTGCATTGAACTAAATATATTTTCATTAGAAGGCACTATGTCTTCTGACTCTGTAGATTCCTGCTGCACTTGGTTTCCTTGACTTTTTGAAACTTGTAAGAATGGGCCCATCAATAATGGTTCTGATACCTCCAGCCTCCTACTGCATTGGGTCTGAAAATGAACTGTGATGGATGAGCGTGGCCGGCGTGTACAGTGAGAGCCTATATTTCTGCTGTCATGTAGAAATGGCAGGTAGTTTAATTTTGGAAAAAAAATTACTAAGAAAGAGGAAGTATTCCTTCTAATTAGGATTTATTGACTTTTTAAGGATATGACTTTAGAATCCGGTATGTTTGTTAAAGCCTTTGGAATTGTTTTATTCTATTTCTAGATCTTTTAGCTGTGCCTAAGCATCCGTATGCTGCTATGGAGAACTGGGGACTAAGTATTTTTGTGGAACAGAGAATACTGCTGGATCCCAGTGTTTCATCTATTTCTTATTTGCTGGATGTCACCATGGTCATTGTTCATGAGATATGTCACCAGGTATGAGAAAAAGGATCAGGTGTAAGTATAATTGCAAACTATTGAGAATGTAGAATGATTTCAGATACTGAGATTAGGAGTTAAGTTATTATCCTCCCAATTAAGTTTTAATTATCGATAGAGCACTGTGTAGTTCTTTCTGGAAGGTATGTCGTTTTTCTCAGGTGACAGCATAAACTAAAGCAAACCCACTGGTCATATTGGACAAGCAACTGTCGTTCAGTTCAGTGTAGTGGAGGAGTGAGAGGGCACTGCCACCCAGCAGCCTCTTTGGAGACACTATCCACTCACTGTTCTTGTCAACCTTGCTTTATTTTCTTGTGATTATTGGTGTGTACATATGGTAAGTACAGTGATGGCAATGATTTATTGCATTGCTGCAAGATGCAGCTGAGTTTTGTGTACGTGTCAAAATTTGCCTTTGCTGAAATCAATTTGTTACTCTCGTTTTCCCATCACACAGACACTTAGGAAGTCTTTCACTAACTCAGCCATAGACTCTTTGTTCTCAAATGATTGATAATTTTTTGTCTTGGCATGTGTAGGAATTCATATGTAAATTAGTCAACTTTGTAGTGAAGCTAAGATAAAATTAATTTCATTTTGATTTTATGCACTTTCTTACAATGAGTGAAAGGGATTACAGAGGTTTTGCAATGCTTATCTGAATCTTCATTCTAGTGAGAGAAATAAAAAAACCTGAAAGTAAATGTTCATGCTGTTTAATAGAAAGTAATATTGGTACTGGTTACTGGTAACTACGGCAAATTTTTAAGTGAAAACACAAGAAATCTCCTACTTATGCCTTCAATTTGTTATAAACCCAAAACCCTTTTTAAAAAGCTAGCCAAACGTAAGAGTGATGTGGAAAATGCTGTCAGATAAAGAAGCTGAACTGCTAAATGTTAATACGCGAATACTGACTTAATGATGAATTAGTCCAGGCCAGTGGACCATTTACCTAAATGTCAGCCTTCTGCAGTGAACCTGTAAGATGTTTGTACCTGTCATGCTGGCCAGGTTGGACATGTGTTCCTTGCCTCAGAGACTTAAAGGGACCCATTGCAGAGGTACCCAGGGCTCCTCTACTGTGTTAATGAGAAGGGTTCCTAGCTAAAAGTACAATTTTTTTTTGATGCAAATGCAGTTTCCTCTTTGAACATCTCTAGAAACAGATTACAGGTACAGTTCTGTTGAAATGAGAGTACATTAGTAATGTTTTCATTGTTCCTGCAACTGATTTTATTTGCTGTTTATTCTAAATTACTCTTTTGTTATAGCTTGGTAGTTAGTGCTATGCTACTTACTAGCAGGGAAAGAATGAACCAGACACTGAGAGAACAATTTTCACTATCATTACCAAATTATTTTCTACCTTCTATTTATTGTCACAATTATTTTTCTTTTATATTGTAAGGTTGTTGTGTTTACTAAAGGAATACTGTATGTCAAGGGCTCAGTACAGAATCTGATAGGTAGTAAGTGCTTACTTAATCACAGCAAGTGATTATTATCTTCAAATGAGAGTCACAGCGAAACACCCTAGAAGCGGGTGACCACGACCCTGCACCCGAGAGCAGTGGGATAAGAAGTGGGCAGGCACAGTCTTGTTTAAGTGAATCTGCTCCTCCAGTTCCAGTTTGCACGCATCAAGAACTGTCAGCCAGGACAAAGGGCATTAAGGAACAGACTTGTTTCCCTTCATCACAACCTCGCAGATCACCTTTGGCATCTGGGTCTCATTTTCACACCAGTCTACTTCCCTTAGTGAGGTCACTGTCCAACACTCTCTGACAACCCCCAAATCTGGCCGCTCTGACTTCCAAATTTAAGAACCTGTTATCTCAGCCACATCACTTAGTAGCTGCAAGTTTCTTAACTCTTCTGTGTCTCAGTCTCCTGTGTAAAATGGGGCTAATAATAGTATCTACAATTTAGGATTATTGAGAGGACTAAACAAATTTTTCCAAGAAGAGCTCTTAGAATACTGGTAGTCACATAGTACATGATCAATAAAACTGTTATTATTGATTTGCCTCCACTGCTGCTGAAGCAAATTCCCTGTAGCTTCATCTTCTTTTCTGTGCGTTCCCTTTCCTTCAGCCTACTGCGTGGACCTGGCTGGCCCCTGAGGCTTCTTTCTCATTTCTTGAGTATCTCAGCACCTGGATGGAAGTAGACTAAATACTCTCTTGCCCCTATTCCTTTTCGCTCTTTCCAAAGCACTATCCTTTTTATTTGAAAACCTCCAGCCCCTCTGAAGTTCATGTTCTTACCATTTCCCCTCACTCTCTCTCGTATTCTTGTACCTGTTATTCCTCACGTTAACATAGATCACACCCCTTCTGTGATATTGTCACAATCCTTAAGATAGGCTTTCAGTTTAAAGCAGAGACATTCATTTTGGTTAAGAATACAAAAATATTTTTGATATCACTTATTTTGTGGTCATCAACATGTTCAGAGTTATTTCTCTTTTGTGTTTCAGTTAGAGATCCTCTTGAGTGACATTTTATTTTTAATATTGAAACACTCAGTCACCAAGCTCTTTACAAAGCTCCTAAAACTGTACATGATTTGATATTTGCCCACCATTTCCTTCTGTTTCTTAAATAACTCATTCCCACTTAGAGTGTTCACATTAAGGGCTGCTTAGATCTGTATGGAATCCCATTGCCTGAGGCTTCTTCATAGCTGGCTCCTTTTTACCATTAAAGTCTGAGCTGAAATATCACCTGCTTAGAGAAAAGGCTTTTGCTTTTACAGTCTAAGACAATCCCTCCCCCATTCCTATCACACTTTATTAGGATTTGAAATTGTGTTGTTCATTTGCTTATTTATATTTTATTTTCTATCTCATCTCTTCCCCCACCTCTATAATAAGGTGTCAGCTGCACAAGGAGAGACATTATCTGACTTTCCATCATTAAATTTCAAGTCTTTAAGATAGCTCCTGGCATATAATGTTTTGTTTTATTTTTATTTTTTATTTTTTTTGAGAACAGAATTCTTTTAACCTTTTGCTGAACTTAACGGTTTCAGAGTGAAGCATCATGATCTAATCAAAATACCAATTAAAAATTACAACATTATCTTCTTGTTGAAAAGATCTTAGTTATTTCTCTGGCCCAACCCCTCATTTGTATTAAACCATGGAGAGTCAGGGGTGGAGCATCTGAAAAGGCCTCAGTGCCTTCAGTCAGCTGATGTTTTCTCTGAACTGCCTCTGTCTCTGGAAGGCGATGCTGCAAACTTACTACGATGAGTTGCTCACTACCAGGCAGTGTTTTCCAGCTTTGGCCATCTCAGTCTGTTGGAGGCATTTTCAGAAGACAACTGCTAACCCTAATTTTCATCCCTTAGTCTTGATTTGTTCCTTGTAGCACCACAAGACACAAGCCTTTTTCCTCTTCTACATTGTGGGTCTTCAAATATTTGAAGATAGCTGTGATTAGTCTTTTTCCTCCTGAGTCCTTTCTTCTGCAGGGTGAAGTGTGTGTGTTTCTGTTCTTTGATTATTTTATATTTGTTCTTCTCTGCATGCATTCATATAAAAAACTGGTGTTATCCAAGTAGTAGTTAAATGAATCAATAATCTTACCACAACACATTTTAAGATCCCCCCAATCAATTGAAGAGTGAACTCCAGTTATGATAATCATAGTTAATTACATTTAATTTTAGGTAAAATTATTCTGGGATACATTTGATTTTATTGGATGCCTATTCATTTTGTCAATGCAGTGGTTTGGTGACCTTGTGACCCCTGTGTGGTGGGAAGACGTGTGGCTGAAGGAAGGATTTGCTCACTACTTTGAATTTGTTGGTACAGACTACCTCTACCCTGGCTGGAACATGGTAAGTACTTTTCTTTAATTGTTTACAACTCCCAGTGGAAGATTGCTCTGGTGTTACACTGGACTTCTTATTTTTTTATTTTTAATCATTAAAGGTAACTTAAAATACCTATTGATGCATGGAAAACATTAAATGTCCAATAATAATGCCCAATAAAATAAACAGAATTTTAAATTTATATTTGTAATTTTAATTTGTACACTAAAATAGTATTCCCAAAGAGTTCTCTTTTAATTATCAGAACTAAATAAAATTTCATTTGTTATAAGTTGATTTCAAAATGCTACAGCTCTTCAGATAGAAATATTTGAAATTTATTGCAGTATTTTATAACAAAGACAAACTATCCTTCAAATGGAGAATGTAACAGTAATTAATATGTGTTATTTTAAGTATATGGGGCATAATATATAGAAAAATGAGAACTTAATATTTCTTCAATGTGATGAAACACAAAAATAAGCTAAACTTGTTTATGCATCATTGTTGTAGATGCACTTTGGGAGTAAATACGATCACCTTCAGGTTTGATTGCCAGGTCACCTGCAAAGAGGAATGTGCTTTCTTGATTCTTATACAACACTTTCACCTTTGAAATTGTGTTTCCCACATTTCCATCCCCCCACTTCATTGATATCTGAGGACTAGAATGAGGAAAATGCAAGGTAATTTACAGTAGTTATCTTTCATACAATTTTTCAGATACTGCTTTCCCTAGGGAATTTTTTTTGACTGAGTCTGTGATTTCAGCTTCAGTCACACATAGTGAGCTCTGCCCCCTCTCATGAAAGCAGACAGTCTCACCACTTTGCTGTAAGGGCCACTTTGTCACAGTAATGCTAACTGACGGCTGGTCATGTGAAGATTTTGTAAGTTGTGCCCATTGTACCCACACTCTAGGAACATACCTGATTGTTTTAACCTGAAGTAGGACTTGTTGTCCCTTAAGCAGTGACATTTTAGAGCATCCTACAAAAAAAAAGTGGAAGGTTTGATTTTTATGTGTCTTTTAATATAATTCTTAAAATGTTTATGTAAGCTTTCATTCATCAATAGTGACTATATTATTATTAAATGGAACCCAGGATGTATGTTGTTCTGAAAGTCAAATTTTAAATTTATTTTAAATGTCACTGTGTGAAAGTTGCAGAAACTCAAATTTTACCTGTGAAATATCATAGGTGATAATATACAAGTTGGGAAAAAAGTAGGTTTACAGTTGTGTGTACGTGAAACATAGTTTATTCTTGTATTATATATTTTTCCATAGGAACAATTATAAACCTACTTTTGTCCATCCCTGTATATTCATTTTATACCACTCTTTTTGATGTGTAAATTATTAATAGTAAGTGATTGTCTAATTATCTGTTATGATTACAAGTATTATTTGAAGAATATTTAAGCCCAGGTGAAATAGGAAGATGTCTATAAGTCATGAGATAACTTCTCTACCATAAATTCAACCAGATCCTGCTGAGTAAAACATATGATCTGACATATCTCCTAGAAAATGCATTACAGTGGTATATAGTATATTGTTATGTTTTAATTATGTTCATGCAGTTTTGTCCATATTTTATAAAGGCAACATGGTTCATTTGCACAAATATATGAGATAATTTTACTTAGCCTCCTTTTTTAAAGATTTTATTTGTTTATTTTTAAAGAGGGAGAGGAGAAGGAGAAAAGGAGGGAGAGAAACATCAGTGTGTGGTTGCCTCTTGGGCACTCCCTACTGGGGACTTGGCCTGCAACCCAGGCATGTGCCCTGACTGGGAATTCAACCAGTGACCCTTTGGTTGACAGGCCAGTACTCAGTCCATTGAGCCACACCAGCCAGGGCTTTACATAGCCTTGTGTATCGAGGTGTGTAGGTATATATGATATAGTTTAAATAATCTTACTTTAACTGTTTTATCATGGTATTGAAATTAATTAAAGTTACCTTTAAAGAATTTTGAAGAAAAATCACTAATACCATGCAATATTATTGTAAGTATTCTTTCACAAATGTAAAATTTGAAATTTAAATGTTTAAGAATATTGAAACACTTCCAAAAATATCATTCGGCTTTTAGATGACTTTCTGCCAACTTTCTTTAAAATTTAATTTTCATTATGCTGTGGATTATTACTGATTTATAATTTCATTATATTTTAATATTGAAACATGTCCTTATTACAAATGACATGTTGCTCATATAGGTAAGCTTTATTTCCCAGCTCATTCAGCTACCTGTGATAAAATCCTTTCTATTCATCATTGTGAAAAATGCCCCTTAGATTAAAAAATAATCAAAAGAATTATACATTGGGTTAAAACTGACAGCTTTCAATGATGAAACCATTATTAAGACGATATATCCTAAGTTTTGATATTCTTATATTGGATTTATTCTTTGAATTTTTTTTATATTCCTGCATCATTTTTATCAGTAAAGTTATAAATGTAGGCCTTCTAGAGAACATCTTTGTAAGTGGTATTAAATATGAGCAATCTGAGACTTTGTTCTTAATAGAGCACAGATCATGCACTGGAAGTATAAACACCTTAGGGTGGTAATATGTAAGATTTTATTTTTTGTAAATCCACATTTTGCAATTAAGAAGTGGTAATGAATAATGGCATGGATACAGTGACACAGAAGGCTTACCCTATCAAACTAAGATATGATGATTAAACTCCATCACAATTAATTAGTCAATAGGGAGAAGAAACAGGTCTTCTTATGATGTCTCTTAATGTTCAGATTGTAAAGATTATAAATACTTCTGATCTTTGATTGCTTTCGTTTTCTAGTAGCTTTCTTTAATTAGTTTGTAGAGTACCTTAGTAGACTCAGTTTATAAAGCTTATAAGCAGAAACTCTAAATAAATTGCTCTTCTGTATATCATTAATATCTCCTTAGCCAAGAAAATTTTAACAATAAGTTAGCCATAGAAATAAAAGAGGGCATTAAGTGACTTTAAGGCTGTGCCAGCACTATTTTTCATAATGGCATCAGCAAAAGAGTGAAAGAAATACTAGGAAGGACAAGAGTGCCAGCTGTGTCAGCAGTGACTAATGCTATTGTGATATGCACAAAGGCTTATCTCGGGAGCATGACTCGAACTTCACTAGAGCTTAGCCTAAAATAGGAAAACCAGAAGTCAGGCTCATGTCAGGAGTAAAGAAATGCAGGAAGCTGACTTCTTTTGCCTCTAATCTCAAAAACAGGGCTTTTATCATTTTTAGACACCAAGGCTCAAGCACTGACATACTATTTCAGTTTGCTAGGGAGATTACTATTACAATCTACTTTCAGTGAAATAGTAGTAAAGAAGCCCAGAATCGCAAAGTATAGTTAAGGAAGATCTCATGCTGATTTAGGCCAATACGCTTGTTTAGGCTGCTTAACTACTTGTAAAATCTTAGGTTCTGTGTATCTGTGTATGTGTTTTCTGAGCCAGTTTCTGATACAGAAGTAATCAGTTTTTACTTCAGGAACACTACATGGAATAAAAACTATTATGATGGTTTTGTTCTCCAGCAGACAAATTACGTTTATCATTTTATAGATACGGGCCTTTACAGGTAGTATGATGTAAGGTCAGGGGAATGGATTGGAAAGAAGAAATTCAGATTCCAGGTAAGGCATTGCACTTGTCTGACTCATCCTTATCATTTGAAAAATGGGGCAATTGTACAAATTGAGCAAGCTCACATAATTTTGGTGAAGATAAAATAACTTGCGACATCTTTGAAATGTATGAGCCACACACAAATGTGAGCAGGCATCATAAACCTAGAAAATGAATGCCCCATTAGAAAGGTGCATTGATTTTATGTATAGATGCCCTAATATTTCCAACCCCAGTAGTCTATTTTGACACTCTAGACTTATTACAATTATATATAGATTACAAAATAATTACTATAATCTTTGTATCTAGACTGAGTCTCATTGAATCAATTCTTATTTATCCTGGTAACATAGATTATTCTATAAGAACATAGGTCTTGTATAATGTTTCATTCATCAAACATAAGTGTTGAGATCATCAGAGGCAACTTCTTCAGCTCAGGGCTAAGGATACATTTCATAGAATGACTAGTCACTTTGCTTGATGTTATTTTATCAGAGTTGGCTGTTAGAGACAACATTATTGGATGGGTCAAGTTACAGTATGCTATTAATGGCAGTCATAGTAAATCTTACTGTGCTTCTTCAAAAAGAAGAAAAGGAGACTCATGAAACATAGTTACTATTCTTTAATGATTCTTGATCATTTTAATATGAAAAAGTCTGTGATAAAATTTTAATACAGGAAAAAGATATATAGTAAAATGATACTGTGAAGAACTTACTTTACAGACCTTGTGCTGATGCAGGCAAAATCATATCCCCTCTCCATAATGCATAGGTTTTCATTATAATTTGTATCTATACTGTAGGTGTGTCCTTTGGTTTTCTGAATATAGCATTGTCAGGACGTGCTGCTATAATGAGAATTACTAACCATGAGTGTATGTTCTTTTATTAAATCAATTGGGATGCCATGGAGCTTCACACAACAGTAACTTTATGTACCAATAAAGTCTGCAGACTGGGAATTCTCCCTAAATTTTTATGAGGACACAAGCTGGGCATAAAGATACCTATTAATGAAGAATCATGCAACTGAACTTGATTATGCTAAGTACGCAGGATATCTCAAAGTATATTACCAAAAATCTTGATAAATGTTCTCAATTGTCTCTAGTAAGGGCAGGACTAAAATAGTAGAGATGAATTCTGCCATTAGACTAGGTATCATTTTAATAATGCTCCAACAACAATTTCCTGCAAAATTTAACAGGCATTGCAATATAATTTTTACTTTTTAAGTTATTTTATTTTTATTCAAAGAGAAGTTGAGAAAATCATTGGTGAAATGAAGTAGAAACAGTAGTTTTCCCCTCTTTGAGGGGCATATGTTCTAAGACCCCCAGTGGATGCCTGAAACCATGGATAGT